TGTCAGGCATCGTTGATTTGGCAGCAAATCAGCAGTAGCCTGTTTTTTGTGAATTAAGCCCGGGAGAAGGATGTTTTTTTTCGCTCTCCCATTGGTAGGTTTTTCTTTCGTTTTCGTTGTGCGGGTCCTGTGGCGGTCCCACACGTGCGTTTCAAACGTCGAGAACAATTTTTTTTGAGTAACGAAATCACACACGTTTCATTCACGGCGAAGGCAAAGACGAATGGCTTCATCGCTGGAAATTGATTGTGGTTTGGGAGGTGTTTGGGAGGGTTCGATCCGATCCCCTCACCTACAGCACATGGTGTATGGAGATACTCTGACTGTTGTCAAGACGACTACATGTGAGTGGGCACGTGGACCATACTCTTGCCCTCCTTTGCCAAAGAGAATTTCTGTCAGCACAACCAAACAGCGTGCACTGGGGCCTATTTCAAGGAAAGGAAGCCTCAGACTACTATTGTCAATGAATATGGTCCGTGTGTCCGCTCACATGCGGTCGTCTCGACTGCCACAGCCATGGTCAGTGAGTCATACCCTGACATCTGACACCCCACCTGGAGCAGACACCATCATCGGTGAGAACAGCACTTTGTTTTCTTTTTTAGCAGTTTCTTCTTCATTTGTTCGGTCATGAAATGTTTTTTTGCGCTTCTTTTCCCTATTTCACGCTGCCACCCACCTGTCCCCCACCCGTCCCACACCGTCACACTAATCCACGTACATGGCTAGTGGGATCTCGCTCCAGGTCTGTACGCGCGCACAAACGCGTACAAAAAACAAATCCTGCATAGAACGGGGGACGCACTACGCATGTCCACGTACATCGTGTACAAACGGATGCCCAGGTGGCTGCACCTTTTCATTTTCTTTTTGTCAAGCCCTCATTACCTCCTCATGGGTGGACACACTGACAGAGAGTGATGATTGTGTGTTCGGACCCGCAGCCTCAAACTTGTTTCCCTTTTTTGGGCCTGAATGCACTGGGCCATGCGAGTTGTCCATGTTCATTTCGATAAGTTGTGATGTCCCGCTGTCCAACGTCGCTTAGTACACAGAGTTTCGCTCAGGTCTATTTCGTTGTGCCAATTTCCCTTTTCGAAAAAATGTACAAAAGCTTTTAAACCACCACTTGCCCACTGTTGGAAAACTGGGAAAATATCCTACTCCTAAAACACTGGAGGCCGGGCCCGACTGTGGCCGCCGTTGATAAATCTCCTTGGCGGCCGTCGTTTCCTTTCGGCCTCCTAAAGACTTGGGGGCCCGACGACGGCCCACATGGGAAAAGGCAGTGGACGTTTGACAGAAGTTGTTTCATTTCTTTTTTATTTACTTAATTTCTCTATACTATTAAAAATGCCAAAGGGCCCGACATGACGCTTCCCAGCGGACCCAGGGAAAATCGGTGCTGCGCGGCAGGGCCACAAAGCGGCCCGAGTGAGGTACTGCACACTGGGAAGACGCAGATTCGAAAACCACGCGCGGCACGTGGAAGGGAGCGGACGAACACAGTCATTTCTTTTTTGTTTTTTATCCCCCGCCTTTGGGAGGGTTTTCGCATGCTTCTATTCGTGCGCCATTGGAGAGTGGGAGGAGGAGGTCGCGTGAGGGGGAGGAGGAGGTTGTGCAAGCGGGAGGAGAAGGTCGGAGAGGAGGAAGAGGCCATCGCGCAAGGGGCAGGAGGTCGGAAGAGAGGTTGAAGAAGGTTGCACGAGGGGGAGGAGGAGGTCACGCAAGGAGGAAGAGGTCGTGCAAGGGGCAAGCGGACGTCGCACAAGGGTGAGGAGATTGGAAGAGAGGTGGAAAGAGGTCGTGCGAGGTGGATGAGGAGGGGGAAGAGGACGCGTGAGGGGGTGGAGGATGTCGCACAAGGATTAGGAGGAAGTCGCGCAAGGGGGAGGAGGTCGAAAGAAGGGGAGGAAGTCGGATGAGGGGGAGGAGGGGGTCGCACGAGGGGGAAGAGGGGGTCGTGCGAGGGGGAGTAGGAGGTCGTGCGAGGGGGAGGAAGAGGTCGCAAGGAGGTCGCGCTAGGGGGAGGAGGAGATCGGAAGACGGTGTGCGAGGGGGAGGAGCAGTTCGTGCAAGGACGAGCAGGAGGTTGCACGAGAGGGAAGAGGAGGTAGCACAAGGGAGAGGAGGATGTCGGAAGAGGGGGAAGAGGAGGTCGTGCAAGGAGGAGGAGGAGGTCGTGCAAGGGGGAGGAGCAGGTTGTGCAAGGGGGAGGAGCAGGTTGTGCAAGGGGGAGGAGCAGGTCGCACGACGAGGACGAGAGGTTGCAGGAGGTCGTGCGGAGGTCGGAAGGGAGGTTGGAGGAGGTCACACAAGTGGTTTGAGGAGGCCGGAAGAGGACGGGTGAGGGGGAGGAGGAGGTGGTGCAAGGAGGAGGAGGAGCTGGACGAGGTCGGAAGAGCTGGACGAGGTCGGACAAGGTCGGAAGAGATGTGGGAGATGGTCGCACGAGGGGGAGGAGGAGGCTGTGCAAGGGGAGGAGTGAGTCATGGGAGGGGTAGGAGCAGGTCGCACGCTGGGGACGAGGTTCAAAGAGGTCGTGCGGGAGGGGGAGGAGGAGGTCGCGCTAGGGGGAGGATTTAGTGCGAGCGGGAGGGAGGCGTGAGGGAGGCGCGCGCGCGCGCGCGCGCGCGCGAGAGAGAGAGAGAGAGAGAGAGAGAGAGAGAGAGAGAGAGAGAGAGAGAGAGAGAGAGAGAGAGAGAGAG